GCGAAAAACGTCTGATTATTAATTTCAATAGCATTACTTTTTATTCTCTTTCACAAAAGGGAACTAAAATTTGCATGCATTGACGAAGAAAAACGGAGCCAAGTTAATACAGAAAAAAATCAAATTCAGGAGTGATCAAATTCTTTGGAAAGCCTCAAGCGTCGTTGGCAATGTACGTTAGGACAAGAGTACAGAAGAACACGAAGAAAAGAGAAATGATGACCTTGGTGGCTTTGAAGTGAGTGGGCCCCGATAACCACAGACTAGCTTCTGCTACGCTGCTACCACCACGTGTTTTTATCCTCGGTGAGACCCGTGCCTTGGAAGAACAATGAAAAGTAAGTTGCGGTCGACTTACTGCTTTTCTCTTCCCATCGTTGCAACTCCCAGGTTGATTTCTCTCTCCCCTTCTTTTGAATACTTTTATTTCTTATTCCTTCTTCTGCACCTTCTGATATTCCTCTTGTAACTCCATTTCTTTTTTTTATTCGCCGTATAACAAACGGAAGAGTGCACGCGTTACGGAACAATCAACATTCTTGTTAAAGGTATTACTTTTTTACCATCATACACATACCATAAAAAATGAATCGAGGGCAGAATTATTATTTTATTATTATTATTTTTAATTTTCACGTAAATAGAGAATATAAAGAATATATTTATCGTAATAAAATAATCGTTTCAACATTCCTAAATATCGTATTTATGTCTGTTTGAAAATTTAATAATATTACTTATGTAAGAATGGAAACAATTTATTTATATTTGACAAATTTGTAATAAATATTCGTCACTTCTAATATTATAACTATATTTACGATTGGCTTCAACTAAAGTAATTACAATTCATAGATATGTTTAATAAATTATGATACAAAAAAATTCACGAATATTTTTATTATACAGTGTATGATTTTTTTATCTTACCAAGATAACCATATTGATCTATGGAATTTTTTTAATATGTAAAATGGTATAGAGAACACAATATAAATGATAAATAGAAAACATGCTGGAACATTGTTAAAATGTATTGAAAAATACTTACAGATTTTTAAAGAACACTATACAGATATTTTAAATTAACAATATAATAAACAAAGCATAATGAGTTCAAAGAAAAAATTAAAAACCTATAATATTACATAGAAAAATGTTTTAATTTTTTATATATATTAATTATAAATTTAGACTATAATAAATTATAAGTTAAATCTTTTTTTGTGTATAATAAAAAATGTAGAATTTATTTTATAAATTGAAATAATCAAAAATTAAGTTGAACCAGGGCGAAAATTTTCTAAATTCGCCATCGTGTATTCATTAGCCGAATATGTATATGAACTCTGGGATTTATTAACAAATATTAAATATTAAAATTCTGAATTTCGTTTGTTATGTACCATTGTATACAAGAATAAACATAATTTTAACAAACATTTTTTTTTGTTAAAAATTATAAGATAAATTTTATGACACGTAGTCAATTCACAAATTTCCGGAGATATTTTTCATATTGAAAATAGAGAAAAAATTAATGCAGATATTCGGCATCACTATATATTTATTAGAAAGCATATTACTTTTTTACTAGATATTTATACAAATATTATATTTTCACTTTAGTAATAGCGATACTGACATCTCTGAATTATTCTCAAAAGATTGCAAAGTTCAATAAAAATTCAAAAATAGGACATATAAAATTTAAATTAATACATATTGTAGCTTTATACTTGAATATTATATTGGGATACAAGTATAATTTACAATAAAATTTTAGCTTAAAATTGAGTCAACGAAAATCGAAAATTTAAAAAAAAAAGTTAAGAAATTAAAAAAAATTAAAAAAATAAGTTACATAATCAAAAATGAACAAAATAGGAATAAACAACGTACAAATATGTATTTTTAATTAGTTTTTAATAAATTTAAAAGATATTTTATAACCGTTAATAAATTTTATATTTTTTTTTAAATATGAAAAAGTTTATTCTTATGCGAAATTCTGTCGACAAAGAAATACAAACTTTAGTTTACATAAATAATTTTTTATGCAATTTACAACCTGTTTCTTATAGTATGTTTAATTCATCAGAAATTTTTGTTCTAAATTTTCTGCAATGATGAATGTGTAAAGATAAAATCTTTATATCCATTTGTTCATTGAATTTCAATATCAAGTCATATTCGTACTTATTTTATATGTCGTTAATAATATTTCAGTACGAACTAAATACTTTCAATGAAGTATTTAAAATACTTATATATATTTTTTGTATACATCTATAAATGGAAGTAAACAACTTCAAAATACTTAAATTGCTAATGTACTTGAAATAGATAAATATTTTGTAATTATTTATAGAAATTAAAATTATTAATGTATGAATTTTATATTTAAGTAAAAAATATATAAAATTTGAATAAGTTACTATTAATATTGATATAACTTACTAAATATATTGGTAACATTTGATATTATATTACCACGTATATTATAATAGAATATTGATTAAACAATTTTCAGAAATGAATAATAAATTAGATAAATTATTTTAAATTATTATTATAAAAATTAATGAAGTTGTATTAGGAAATAAGAGAGCAAAAATAACATGGATTCTTAATTGCAATTGAAAAACATAACATATCGATTTATTTTAATCTATATTATAGAACATTTATATTTTATATTTATAAGAAGGAGATTTTAAATAAATATACAAAAAATATTTAATTTACAATACATAAATATGGCTTTATTGATAATCTTTTAATTTATTAAAAGTGTTCTTTTTACATAATTGTTCTTATACAATTCTTATTTCATTAGGTTATTTTTCTAAGTTCATGTTAATTATCTAAGAAAAAAGTTCAATAAGTGAATATTTCTTTTTACTCAAATTAATAATTTACAATATGCTGAATTAATCTAAATTTATGTAAACAGAATAGCAATTTTTAATTCTGTAAAATAATATGTTTAATATAGTTATATTAAAGTCTGTATTATCCATAAATTAAAATCTATATTAGAACAATATATATCTGTATCTTATAAATACAAAATTGTTTCAGAAAACCATATACTAATTAAAGCTTTTAATAAAGCTTTTCATTTTTAAATATAAAATAATTGCATTGATATATTTATTTAATAAATAATAATAATTTATCAGTAAATGTTCTTGAAAATAAAAAAAAAACGTTTACATTTTTTGAAATATAAAATGGCAATGATGTACTTAATATATAAGGTATATAACATATGCAGGTCTATAATTTTATTCATAAATAAATAGATTTTATAATATAATCTAATATCAAACAATGCGTAAATGGTTTCTTTGTTTAATCAAATGAGCATGCATCGTAAATATGATGTTCTTTCAACTTCAAGGAATCTACCTTAAATATTTTCTTTTATTATGTCGTGAAAATAACTATTTGTTATACACCAAAAAGGATACTTGCATTCAAAGATAGCAGCTATCGAGTTGTACACTAGCATCTTGCCCATTAATAATACTAAATTTGTTCTTAAATACTTTCAAATAATAATTAAATATTCTACCCAATATTTTCAATTTTTTTAAATAAATAATTATTTAAGCAACTATCATTACTGTGTTTTATGTAAGATCCTATTTTTAAATTTTCTTATAATTGAAATTATTTTATTTATAAACTTATATTTCTAAAAGCTCAAATTCTCCTAAGGCATAACATCCTAAGGCATATTTAATAAATAAATTAAATATGAAAAAGATAAATATTTTCTTAATATAATTTTTTAATTAATTAGAAAATAGATTTTTGTTTATTTTTAAAATATTCTCTTTGTGTTTACTAAAATATATTGAAGATTATTTAATGGATCTTTATAATGAAGTAATATTATCTTTATATACGAATAAATATTTTTAATCTATTTAAATATTTAATAATCTATTTTACCTATCAATGAATTAAACAACAATAAGAAATAATTAAAATATAAAACCGATATATAATGATTACTGATATTATCTATAGATTATAATATTATGTAAATTATGATTGTTAAATGATATTGAAAATATCTATATATCCTGCAGTTTATACTTCATTTATTAAAAGAGATCGTTATTTTTAATTATTTTGATCAATTGTCATTATTATGTCCTGTATTAATTCTTGCAATATGAACAAAATTATCAAATCTGGCTAAGATAAGTGAGCAAAGATTTTGCAATATATATATTTAAAAATCTAAATAAATTATCATTTATTAATTAATTCAACACATATTAAACATGGAATACATTTTTCTTATTCAACAAAGAATTTTGTTTAAATTTTTGAAAATACGACATTCAATGTTAACGCTATAATGAAATAACAAGGTCTGTATATAATGTAGCAACATTAAACTGTTAGTGTGTTTAGATGGTCTTTAGACGATCACATTACAGTAAAATCTGTGTTAAAAGAACAATTTAACTTGTTTATGGAAGAAGAGATATTGTATAATGATAATATATCTTTGTAAATTTTGAAAGACGCTTAAAAATGGAAAAAGATAATAAAATATAAAAGTATAAAATATTACATCGTTAAATAGAAAACGAATAATTGTTAATTTAATTTCTTAAAATAACTTATATTTTCGAACAACAATAGAAAATTATATATATTGCGTGCTCGATACGTTTTATAAAAATAGATTAAATCAGTTAATAAGATTAATTCATTTTTAAAGTATATAGAAGAACTAATTCTTCGCTTTCAACATAGAATGATTTGAAATGATCTATGTATCATAGAGTTTATTTATTTGTAAGATTTAGTTCAGTTAGATAAATACGACTAATAAAACTAACCATTATTTAAAAACGTTAAAAATATATTTTTATTTTTCTTCGCTTTTTTATATACATTTATATTAAAATTTAAAATGACACAAAGCATTGCTTGAAATTTTTTTCAATGCAGCTAACGTGGAGAGCGACTAAATCATCAAAATATAATAAAATGTGAGTACAGAAGAAAATACAACAATTCATGTCATTCTCTCATCTGATGCAATGAACCCGATAAAGGCCACAAACGGTAATTTATATTTACAATATCATGTCAGCTATAATTATAAACAGACAGTCGATCACCGCTCACCAGTTGATCAGAGATAACGTGCAACAATTGTCGTCGGCGTCCAGTGTCCGTCGGCCTCGACCATTTTCGTGGGCAATGCGCACGCAGCTACGATCGTCGATCTCTTTGTGTTATTTTCAGCAACAGCAAAGTGCGCAAGAAGCTTTAAATAGGACCGGACAGCGCGATGAGAAAGCCAGTGCGTATGAGCGATCGCGGTCCCGCAGGCACACGCTGAAACATCGAATCATCCTCAATGTGAGTAGAGTCAAGCTTTAATATGAACGTGGGCCTCAACGCGGGGTCAGTCGAGTTTATGTAGGCACTTGCTCAACAATTTAGTGTATTTACTGATAGATTTTGTTATTTGTTGACAATGTTGATCAACATCCTGGAGAGCACTCGAGATCACGCTTTCCAGACGGTATGGCCTTTTAGAGTTTTCATATTGAATAATGTGAGAGCTACTTGTGTTTCGAGATTAACCTTAACTGATCGTAAACTTAATATATTTTTACGAAACTAGAAACTTAATTGCAACATATCTTCTTCAACTGACTGAGTAATATTCTGTACTACTTAATTATTTTAAACTACAGCTGTGAAGCCAACTAGAAATGTACTGCAATAATTGTAGTTATTTTTCTACTTTGCTTGGTGGCATTTCAGATGCGCGCACATTCGTAAATAATCATTATAACTCTTTGGCAGTGAAAATTCTATTTGTATCGTTTATTACCAAAATACTACACTGTAACAATACAAAGCAACGTTGATACTTAACCTTATAATATTTTGTGTAGTTGCATGTCTGTAATATTACAAATTTCGACTGGAAAAAATTATGTGTATCACATATACAAATAAAAATAAAAATCATTTAAATGTCAATTACTGCGGATAAGTTATTCTAGTTGTTGAACACAATTTTTTAAATTCACATTGATGATATTTCATAATTTTATAATCGTTAATTTGCAGGTAAAAATTTATTTGAAATATTGCAAGTTAATTATATTCTAAGATTAATGTTCAATAATCGATTTTAGGACAGCACTTTATAATTTTGTCTAATATATTTTTGATTTTTCTACATTTGATTGCATATATCTTGAGAGCTTATATATATATATATATATATATATAATTTCAAATTGAAATATTTAATTCTTATTAATACATTAAAATTATTTTGGTCGCATACGCAACAATGCTAAGAGTTAAAAGTATCGCAATGTCGAAGAGTGATCATTTCATTGAAATATTACAGAGAAAACTTCAATCTTTCGGGTCTATACTTTCATGTCTCGCGATGTGGTATTTAATTATTTAGTACTGTACTCATGCATTATATTTCTATTTTTATTTGTTTTAGAAGACTATTCATTTTTAGCATATGACGCACTGTTATATTATAGTTAACACTAGGGAATGATAAATAAATAATGTATTTATGCATTAGAAAAGTGTATTCACCCAAAATTTATCATTTATGATGAATATTACGTATAATGTTTAAATAATTGGCTAAAAATGTGTTATCTACTTGAAATTTACCGGCTTTTTTAGTAAACATTGAGCACGTGATTTAATATGCGCATATCAGTAGCCAGAAATTTCAAGAATGTTTAGAAGAAAGATCGACCAAAGTATTTCATTTAATACGTTAAAAAAGAAGCTTTTAATTTCAATAATGAATAAATATAAAATTGAAGTTATTTCATTAACATTAGTAATATATAAATTTTGATAAGAAAATATCTTTGATTTTTGTCCCATACCACAATGGCTATTATTTGACCGAAATAGAGATGTATTTCTTATCAGTTTCCTGTATTGTATAAATAGATTTTATAAAGTATTTAATAACATTGAATTATATTTTCGTTTGAATATCATTTTGATGATTTACAACAGTAAGGGACAATATAGAAATAAAAGAATAACGGTAAAATGGTTACACCAAAATTCAAAGAATATTGATAAATTCGATTTGACCTTTAATTTTTTACGTTTTTATTCCATTTTTATTTTTATTCCAATTCAATTTTTATTCCAACAAAAATCAAAATATAGTTTCTCTAAAAATCAACTTTTTAAATAATTGTTATATAATATTTGTATATATTTATATATGATTTTTGTGTAATACATATATGATTTTTGTGTAATACATGTATGATTTTTGTGTAATACATATATGATTTTTGTATTATATATGATGATTTTTGTGCATTATTTATATTTAATATAAGCAATAATTTATACTGTCAATAAAAATGTTGTAATTGACCAACAGTTCGATCGAATATTGGCAACTGATTTTCAATGTAATTTTATGAATGTATAAATTTTAGATAACATTAGAAAAATTGTAAACAAATTTAATCATATTAAAAAAGTCTATATTGAAAATATGTGTCACCAAATCAGTATGTGATTATATGTTTTAAATGTGTTACAAAATTGGTTAGTAAAAATACGACTATTATTGGTAATAAACCAATATGTTATAAGTGTACTGATATATAATTTAATATACAATTATATATTTAGATAGATGTATCTGTATTAAAAAAAATTCATTTTTTGTTCATATTACCATGTACAATCAACCATTTTAATTACATTATCCATAACATCACGTTTGTTATTATATTAAAGTTAAATTTTACGGTTAAACCGACTTATTTTAATTAAGCTATTCTTTGTATTGTATTAAACAAATATCGTAATGCGAATTTATATATGTTTCATGCAATAGAAAATGTCTGTGAGCAACTTACTTAAATTACAACTAACAGCGATATTACAATTATTATCAAGGTGATAATAGTAATTTTATATATATACTACTTTTACTTGAATCACACACCTTCTGCTACTGTTAATTGATCTATTAACGTGTAATGGATTGATGCACATAGCCGTCAGTAGTGTATCCAAAGATATAATACATTATGCATAGAAATACACACATATACACGCTATAGTCGCATGTACATCTGTGCGATGCTTATTAATATATAATAGAGCTAATAACGCAGTATAAAGATGAAATAAAAACTTGGAACTATATTACCGGTTGTAATCTATTTATTTGAGCAATATAATTATAATTAATAATCTATAAGATTAATAATAAAAAACTTTTTTTTGAACGACATATAGTGTGATTATAGTTAATTACTTTGAATACGATATTTCTTAACTCATCATATAAACGTAGTATTCAGTATCGCTATGTATAATGAAAAAAGAACTTCGTCACAATAATATTAATTTTATACTTTTTAAATTAATTAACACGCTGTTGTTTAGTTAACAAATTAAATAAATGTTTTTGAATATTAATAATTGAGTCATTCATGTATATATATATATAATTAATTTTGATTTTATAAATTTTACAATTACTTTTAAAAATATAAATATATTCTCAGATAATATTGTATGTCAATATTTTTATATATAAATATTGACAGAACAAATAACTATAGAAAATTAATAAATGCTATGTAATTAATTCACTTATTTTTATAATACATACTTATTATCATTTATTTCATAAATACATAATTTGTATCGCTATAATGTGTTTGAATTATGTACTTAATTATATTCTTATTTATTGTAATGGAATGTCTTAATTTTAATAATTTATTATTTTAATACATAATTGAATTTATATATACGAAAGAAAATATAGTACGATTTTTATCTTTCTCTGTAATTATTTCAAATAAAATATTAATATTTTATAAGCATAAGAAAGTTCTTTTTTAATTTTTTGCAATATATTAGTGTTTATATCACGACCTCAATTAAAATATTATAATTATACTTCTACATTAGGCGATTACAAATAATTTAAATAAAAGAAAACTTAATTTAGCATTAGCGAAAAAATAAATCTTTTTATAAACTTATTATTGGGCTTAAATTCAATCATGAAAAAGGTATTTATATTACAAATAAATTTTAAACATTAAATATCTTGTTTATTTTGATTAATTTTTTTTCAAAGTATCTAGATATTCGAATATGATAATTAAATAATAATTCTTTTAAAAATGAAGTAATATGTATTACGGAAAAAGCATGGTATCAATAAATAAATTAAGATTTTAAATATCAATATAACATTTTTTATCCTAATATTAAGTAATATGTGTTAATGATATTTAAACATAGATTTCTAAATTATTGAACTGAAAAAAATCATCTTATTTTTTTTTACAATATTTTGTTTGCATGAAATTTAATCTTAATATTGTAATTCATACTTAATTTTCTATAAACACAGTTTCAGTTGTTTCTAGATAAAGTATTTTTTTCTGATAGATGTAATTGCTTTTTCATATCTATCAAAATTTTCAATTACAAAGCTTCATTTTTTTTAGAGATGTGGAGAAAGAGTCAGAAAGATAGACAGAGTAAAGAATTTTTTTGGCATTATAAAAGATAGACTACTTGGATATAAAGACAAAATAATTTATCGAGGATTGCTTCTTGAAACTATAATTTAATTTTTATTTAATACAATTTAACTTAAAAATATATAATTTGAAATTAAAATAATTACACTTGAAAATATAATTATCATGTCATCATTTATTTTTCGCGTTTTTTTCATTATTATTTGGGAAAGTTATTGTTTTCTAATATAACAATTATAGACATCACTTATTATTTTATGTTATTATGCTAAATTTGTTTAATTAACATATTATTTCGTAGTATTTGGAAAGATATTTATATTATTTTTAGTACTTATTAAACTATTCTATGAATTTCAAAAAAAGGTATTTTTTACAAATTGAATAGTTAAATGTTAAATCCTTAATATTAAAAAAATACTTTGGTCTTGATAGAATTTAATACGAAAAATCATTTAAAATATAATACATAATATTCATATGTAAAAATAGAAAATATGAATACAAAATATACATGATGGATTAATTTAAAATGTTTATCTGGTCCTTATAAATTGTCGAATTTTATGAAGTGTGGTTCGGCAGATGCCGACCGAATGTACAGTGAATCCCCTGCAGCGTGAGCTGGCTGACTCGATAATTCGCATGCAGCCTTTAGACGAGATCAGGATCCTCTTGGCTTGCGGAGCAAAGCCAAATGAGCCCGTGACTCAGGGTCTGAGGCCCCTCCATTATGCCGTGTGGCAGCGCTACAGCGACGCGGTGCAGCTGCTGCTGGTCCGTGGCGCCGATGTCGATGCAACAGACGAATGTGGCTATTCAGCCCTGCATCTCGCAGCTGAACACGGCTATCACGATCTCGTCAAACTTCTCCTCAAATGCGGTGCCAAAGTGGATCATCGTGAAGATACTTCCGAACCCTTCCCCAGGTTAGTATACTTTTAGAAAATCTCTCCCATTACAGCTTATTACACGGGGGTACGTTAGCTTTAAGACAGGAGACGTCGACGTAGAAAACGTTCTCTAGAAACATTAATAATAAGAAAAACCTATAAATGCTCAAAATTATTTAATTTTGTGAATTCGCGCGGTATTTCCATTATTCTATTCACGTATGAACGAGTATAATGAAATATTGCAAAAATATACGTCAAAGTGTAAAAGCATTTTTATATCTGTTAGTGTAGAAAAACTTAATAGTATCAACGTTAGGAATGAAATTAGTATAGCCAAAGAAACAATATTATATTAAATAAAGAAAAATTTTATATATTAAAGAGCTTGTATGGACAAACATGTGAACGCGTAATAAGTAAAAGTAGAATCACGTCTACTTTACTGCCAAAGACGGTACTTCTCTCTGATGCGCTCTGCAGCGTGTTCGCGCCTAATAATTATTCATTTTTGTTTTCCGACCTTGAATTAATTGATCAGCAAAAAGAAAACTGGCATAAAAGCCCTACCGCATTTCGAAGGAAAAAGGCAAATACTAATTGAGGCATCTCGATTACAGGACAACGCTATGCGATGAGCCACTGAGGCTCGCCCTTCGCAATCATCACATCGACGTGGCGAGAACGCTGCTGGAAGCCGGCGCCAACCCCAACAAGAGGTATTTCTTCGGCTCTGAAATTAATCTCGTCTCGCCTCTTGATCTCGAGTGTATTGAGCTCCTACTGGCGTTTGGCGCTTACCCGAATTCGCGGGATCGCGCGGGACTGACACCGCTGATGAAGGCTGTCCGATTACCACAGGTCCGTATATAATGCTCATCGTTTCTTTCCTTTCTTCTCCCTACTCACCCAATAATTATCTACTTCACACACTCGCACACTTCCTACAGCTCATCGATCCTATCTTTTATCCTTTGCGCACTTCGAAAGGCACTCTTTGGTACGGTTTATACGCTCAGTAATTTAACTATAATGAACATTTTATTTGCCGTTCAACATTACGAAATAACTATTTCTATGGATCTCACCATATAATTACACGTTTTCTTTATTTTTACGCATTTACGGTCCATAATCAATATGTTTTAGTTCAGCAAATTTTATTGCTCGTTTTTGGCACACGCAACGTACATTGGTCTTCGTGTTGTCATGTTTATATGAGCTAATAAAATAATTCTAAATGAATTCTACATTAATTAAATTTTTATGATAAAATTTTTATATATTTTAAGACGTTAATTATAAAAATGAAATGTATAAATCTAACTAATTTTTGTACCCGGTAATATATATATATATAAATACTATATGTTTTAATATAAATAATATATTTAATGAATATATTATAATAATTATATAATAATTATATAATTATATAAATATATATATAATTAATATATAAATAATATATTGGGAAGACCTTATTTCGAATGATTAATGAAGAATGTTATAATTAGTAAAGATATTTAAGTAATTATAAAGGAAAATGGTTAAGAGTTTGATAAATAAAATACTTCATATCCGATCGATTATATGTAATTTTTTCCTGTAACTAACATCTTATTGACATTCATCTATAGCATCGTTTAGGAAACATGTAGGAAATCAATTTAAGAGCAGCCTTTAACTGAAAAAGTTTGTTTTGTTTCTTTCTTTTCCGCATGGTGCAGAAAGTATTAGCTTTTGAAAAATGGTACCGCGATGCCTTCCCAATGATCGGCGGACCAGCTGATGTTCTTCTTGGCTCTGACAGGCATCGCGACATCGCCATTCATCGACAAGGAGAAGGTCGCACTTTGGAATTAGGAAGTTGACATTCTCTTTAAACCATCCTATATAAATTTTCCACTTATAGATAACAGACATGCATTTCAGATTCCAACAGAGACAGAGAGAAAGAGACAGACAGACAAATAGATAAAAAGACAGACCGACAGACCAATTTATATATTGATCTTACAGAAACCGATTTAAAAATTATTGAAGTGTAGAAACTGTTGCAATACTTTCAATAAATATATTTTTGATTATTTTGAACACACACAAGCATGTACATGTGTACATGCGTGCATGCATTCATGCCATATATACGAATATATACAATAGTATAATTGAATAACTATACATACATTAAAGTAGTAAGAGTAACTATTATTTTTAATAAATAAGATGAAAACATGCACGTGAAAATATACACATAATGAAAAATTACAAATGCAAGTATGCACAAGTACTTTTTTTCTAATCGTATACGTATAGTCTGCGATAGAAAATATAACTTTCGAAAACTGCCAGTCGATAGTTCAATTATGATAAATTTTTTAAAAATGTGTAGTAAATATATAATCTATATGATAATTAAATATTTTTATAATTTTACCATTTTTTATGTTATTATATTGCCAGGAGTTGTTGAGAACATTTTTCCATTTTCTCATAAGATGTATTAAAAAAAAAAAAAAAAAAAAATGAAAGGCCAAATAACGTTAGAGCGAAAAGAGTATTATCAGGTTATTATATTGTTCTTAATTCCATAATTAAGCTGGATCAAGCTTTTTTAGTATTAAAATAGATAAGTTTTGCTTTGCCGATAGAAAATAATAGTTTAAATATCGTTATTTTGAGGACATTGAAGAAAACAAATTTCGATATCGACTCTTAGCTAGTAATGGTAAGCTCAGTCAATTTATAGTATAATTAAACTACCATATTGGATTTTCTCAATGCAGGGCATAGCGTCGGTTCTATTGTTGCTGAGTTATGGCGCAAATGTTAATGCTATGGCTGACGCCCGACATGACTTTCGTACAGTTCTACACTATGCCATTCTCGGTGGTGACCTCGATGTTATAACCCTCCTGCTTAAACAGGGTGCCAATTTGGATCTTGGTTCTGACTACCAAAAGCCCACAGCCCTCGACCTAGCAATACTCAAAGGCGATCCTGCCATCGTCGAGATGTTCCTAGAATCAGGTGATTCTCATTTATTCAATATATTTTCTAGTTTATTATATTTTATTTGATTCCGGTGGATTCTCATTGCCCAGATTTAACCCTACAATACTTAACTCTTCAATTGACTATATTTACAATAAATTTTATAAACTTTCATAACTATTATTCTTTGCAGTTTATTTATATTTGTTTGCTTAATAAATTTTTATTATTTATACAAAACATTAAACGACAAACGTTAAAAATGTATTAGAATTGACTTTTAGAGTAGTAGTATTAAGAGTTAGATATGTATAAAAATTAAAAAAAAATTAAATTATATACTTTTATAATAAGCAATTTAATAGTATTTCAATCAATATATATGATCCTATCTCATGCAAAAAATAATATTTTTCATTTTAAATTAAATATTTTACTGGTAATTATAGGTATTGGATTAAAAATTGATATTCTACAATAATCAAATATCTAGTTAAAATAAATATTTTGTATTGAGCTATTTTGATTACTTTATTATTTATTTACAATATTATAAGTTATTTAAAGTTCATATAGTATTATTGTAGTACAAATTAAATATGTAATATTAAATTCAATTTTTATTTTTCAAGGTAATTAAAAATGTTAGTCTTATAAATACAGTTATCATTTACAAATATAAAAAAATAAAATAAATAAATCATAATTTTAATTGAAACGTAAATTAGATTCAATAGTTCATATGTAGAATTTAAACTCTTGATTCGGCACGTGTAATTATAATTAAGGTATTTAATATCGAATTAGCACACATTATCTTTATATATAGAGTATGAAAATAGAACTCATTTGCAATACTGTTAAATAACTAACAGATCATTTCTTTCTATAAATCTTTTGTTGAGTCGCAGCTTTATGTAAAATCGATAAGCTTTTGTTTGATTTATTGCCGTTTAAATTTTGTTACCATTATGTAAATAATATAAAGCACGTATAGTTATTTATAAATGCAAACATTTCAAATGTTGAGATGGTTTTATTCACTTTGTTATCTTACTGAAAATAATTTAAAAAGTGGAATTTCAAATACTCATTTATTTTATCTTAAAAAATTTACTCTATATACCTATAATTAAGCGTGTAAAGTTTTAAATTAAAACTTTTTATTTAACTTCTTTTTGCTATAATTTACATTGTTATGTAGTCGAAAGCCATTTTTTATTAGCCTTTAACTGATATGAATACGTTTTCGAAGATGTTATAAATCCTTATGCTTGTATAAATATAATTAATGAAAAACTAATAAAGATCTATGGAAGAAAAATTATGTAATTCTCGCAGGAAAGTGTGTAACAACTTTTTAAATTATATTGAAATTGTCTTGACTCATATAAATCAATAAATATGCCAACACTAATAATTTAACAAACTTCATTTCATTTAAAGCACGATCATCTCATTTTGGTATACGACAATCTCTATTAAGCAACAAACTTGATACACATAAAGTATTTTAATGGTGTCGAGGAGCCTTTTTAAATATTTTTTAAAGATAAATACTTTTTAGAAGCCGTTTTAAATATTAGAATGATTAAAGTTCAATTCAATAATTGCAGCTCCTTTATGTAATTAAAAGACATAATTCTTTTATTTATTAATTAATAAGAAAATATGACGATTTAGAAACTTTAAGAAATACACAATATTCATAAATAAAGTGCATTACAAAGATTTTGAGTATTTCGAGATACCCGAGTGAATTACTTAAACATAAAATATAAAATAAATTTTTTTTAACAAGTCTATTGTGTATGAAAGAGAATATTTAAAAAAACAAAAGCTCATGGATGAATTGGTATGATAAAGAAAGAAAATTTTTTTAAAGTTCAAATGTGGAAACTTGAGAACAAAGTTTAAAAAATGAAGCGCAAATAAAGCAAACTATGAATTTCAGGTGCGAATGTCAATGCGACTTCGCCGATAATCGGCTCACCGCTACACGTGGCCTGCGCCGACAATATCCCCAACCGGTTGGACATTTTGAACATGCTCCTCGAACGCGGTGCTGATCCGAATCTTGTGATCCGAAGTGAGGAGGGTCTGTCGTTGCGACCGGTGCTCGCTGAGTACGTAGCTTCAAACGAGAATCCCTCGGTCGAGGTCGTCTCGCTGCTGCTCAAATATGGAGCTCGAGTCGTTATAAAGACCCAGTTCCGCGATCCCCATGGCATTCTGAACTCGCTGCAGCATGCGGCGGACAAGCCGCGACTTCTTCAGGCTCTTCTCGATGCTGCGGAGAGCTTCGATCCCTGTATGATACGGCGCTCCTCGAGCCTGACTGCCGCCCAGAAGGCCCTCGTGATGCAGGCTGCGAGGACGCCCCTCCCTCTCATCCACCAGGCAAGGCTCATCGTTAGGAAGCTCTGCGGTACAAAGCTCACCAAGATTGTCACTAGACTTCAACTGCCTCATAGCCTCCATCGCTATTTACTCTACGACTTCTGCTGACCACCCCCGAGGCAACATTGTCTAAAGCTCCCACCGTCTTCAATTTCCGATTAATGATCGATGCAATGATCTTTGTGCGCCTAGCTTTACATGGCGTGCGCCACGTTTTGCTTTTAGATATTGTGATATAAATATCGATTGATTTGTATACGCAGAGCCGCCAATTTGTCGCATGTAATGGCAATTTTAATGCCTGCACATGTTAAGCAGTTTTCTAGAATCAACTTTTCAACGATTTAAACGCCCAACGACATAGTTGAAATATTTTGAACGAATATAAATATAGGTACCAAATACATTAAGTTTCCTATTGACTCGAATATTATAGCATTATTTTGTAATAAATAATTAATCTAATTCTTACACACACACACACATATATATAAGAAGAACGTCGAGCTATAATGTTAAAACAAACCATTTCATTTTGTACCTTTATATGTACATAAACGTACATATCGTATACTTTGGCATTATGTATATGTTTATTGAAATAAAATTCATACTTCCAAATAAAAAAATCTTCATATCATTATTCCTAGAATATCTCTTGAATTCATTATATCAAATATTTTCTAATTTATAACGTGTTACAGATATCTGAAAAGTTTCTGAAATATTTCAATATAATATACTATTTAATAGCAGTTTAAAAATTTATTTTTATAAACTCATCATTTTTTGTTCAATAATATATAAAATTATTATTATTAAAAATTATGAAAATTTTATACAATGGTAAATTGTAATTTACTACTTTAAGGAGTTAATGAATTTAAGTTCATCCGATCTAATTAATGCAATATAGTTTTGTGCTGTTTTATACAGTCACGTGATTTATCCATCTACAAATTAAGTTAAAGCATTTAATAATTTAATTAAATAGTTTGATATAGAGAATGTTAGTACAAAGGACGTTTTACATACCAATGTGAACAATAAACTAATCTGTATCTATAGAAATTATCTTAAAAGTAATATCTAGAGTTATCACATATGAAAATACAATTGTCGTAAATGAAAAAGTTAAAAATCAATCCTTGTCCTCGTTTTTTTAATATTATTAAATCAGGATTTTTAATAATATTATTAAACTACTTGATTACTTATAATGCATGACTATATTTATTACGTCATTTATTGATTTGAATAAATCGATGAGATTCGCAGCTCACTTGCATTATATAGACTGGAAGCAAAGATAATAATATAACCTCTTTAAAATATCTAAAATGCGACGCAAAGTTTTTAAAGTTTATTGATTTATTCTGAAAGAAAATAATAAATTCTACAATGAAATCACAAAAATTTAAGATTCCTTGTAACAGCGAAAGGTAAATTAATATCCAAAGCATAGACTTAAATCAGAAGCATAGTTTTATAAATATTTATAATTCTAATAATATAAATACTTCTTTTAATATACATGTTAATCAATATATTAAATAATTTATTCTTGTAGCTTTATCAACTTGGATAGAAAAGTTATAATAGTTTCTGTTTTTGGTAAAAGCCAGTATCGAGCTAAAAGTTGTAAGGCAAATATATTTAGTTCCGTTTTACAAGTGGATTTATTAGAAGAACCAACTATTAATAAACAGTCATTGGTAAATATTTTTAATATAATTGTTTTTACACTGTATAATGATTTAAATTTTGATTTAATACTGATTATTTATTTGTAATTTACACATATTTTAGTGTGAAATTGAAGGTTATCATGATCCAAAAACAAGAACAGTGTATTTGCATTTAAAAGGATTCTTGGATACTTACATGCTCATTAATGAATATGATCAATTCATTCAAAAACAAGAACATAAAGATTTTCTCAGTGCTTGGGCTCATATGAGAAATAAATATTCTAGAGCCTTACTCGTACTATTTCATTTGTCACATATTGTTATTCTAAGTCATCCAACTCACATATTTGATTATAGTTACGTACATTTATTTAGAGCTCTCGATATTATTAGGTAAAATAGTATATTTTATGATTTTATAAATATTAAATTATGAAACTTTAATAATGTTTAATAATGTTAATGCAGGCAAAAAACTTCGACTCAATTATCAGACTTCTTGAGTTCATTATCTGGATTACCAAAAGACTGGATATCCAATGGTAGGCCTTGTTCACCACGCGTATTATTTTATTTTGAAACTTGTCCACCAATTTTTCGTGAAGCAAACAATGGAGTTAATATTAAAAGGCTGGAACATTCGTTAGAAGATAGAATATATCAAGTTTTAAGAAAAAATCGAATAGTTACAAATATTAGGTAAAATCAACTTCGTATTTATTGTTCAAGATCATTAATTATTTTATTTATTACAGTTCAAATTCATTATTTGCAATCCCAGCAAACCAAGAATTTGTTTTTGTACATACTGGTAATGTTGAAACTCAAGATATTTTAGCTTACATGACTCGACAATTAATTAAAAGTTGTACAGTTACTTCAGATGCAGTAAGCTCAAAAAGTGTTGAAAAAGTAGATTTATCCTTACATCACGATGGCTCAGAAGAAGGTTCGCTTTTTGAATGTTTATTTTAAGAGTAAATATATATTATTTAATAAGTACATTGTTTTTTCTACATTCAGAACCACATACATTTAAACGATTTCTGCAACAACATATTAATTTAGCCTTTTCTAAAGGTTTTGATGATAATGTCGGCCGTCATCCTGCTCCAGCACATTTTGAAGTATTTTAATTAACAATATTTTCAAATTTAAATAGAATAATAATTATCTATATATTTAATTGAATTTATAGATACCGACACTATCTCAGTTTTTTGATGTAGCTAAGAAAGTATATGAATTTTTTGTAGAAGGAACAAATAAAGAACTCGCAAGTCTTCATGGATTACTAGATACTGATGTTAAATTTAGTAAAAGTCGTTGTACTAAAGTATTGCCAAGGGCTTTACAAGCTTATCAAGAAAATCTTCCTCAACATTACACAAGGTAAGATTTCAATGTTAAAGCAAAGTTATCTGTTACATTTACAGAAAAAGAAGTAAAAGATTTTTCATAAAAAATTTTTTGAATACAGAGCCTATCATGAATCTAAGTTGGCTCATGCAATGGCTGAATTTGAGATGCATGCTCGAGGACCTCTATTTGAAGAATTTAATGAAAAATTACAAGAAGAATGTGATAAGCATTGGCGCGCTGGTCGACAAATGTGTCAAGTTTTATCACTTACAGGAAATCCATGTACAAATCCTATTCATAAAGGAGGCGGAGGAGCTGGTGGAGGAGAGCAACTCGATTCACGAGAAGATTATAAGTTAATGACCATAAAATAAATATAAATGTAGAATTCATTTTTAATTATTTTAATATTTACAATTCAATAGAATATTTCTTTGAAATTTATATGAACAACTTTAACATATTTCTTGTCAATATGTTATTAGTATGATGAGAATTTTTTATGTATATTTTATAATGAATAAAAATGAATCTTGTTATTTAGTTATATAAATCTTTATTCATCAACATATGAAATTAGTACTTTATCTAACAATTATATATATATTCTCAGTGATTTATCTGTTATGGAACATTGTAGTGGAGTTCGGTACATTTGTGCTTGCAATTGTGGTAGATGTCAAGGATCTCGTGAAGATCCTTTCAATTTGAAGCAAGCAAACTATGATTATTTTCAAATGTTAGCAACTCAATGTGGGTGCAATCAATTAGAAAGTATTCAATTTCCAGTTTTTCAACCAAGTACTCATAATTATCGGTAATAAAATAAAAATATATTTTAAATAATAAATGAAACTATTAATATTAATGTTTAATCAAATTTTTAGAGCAGCGCAATTATTATCAACTACTAATCGAAAGGATTCATTAGCTCGAGCAGATATTTCAACACCGCAAGGTCAAACACAAGTTTGTAGTTTAGGAGTCAATGGTGAATAAATTTAAAACTTAATTTAGAATATTTTATAGTATTTTGAAATAATATTTTAGTATGTAAATGTTAATAGATGAAATCACAGCTTATGGTAGTGGAGGACAATCACCCCCAGCTCAAAGTGATCTTATAGAAGAGGATGTACAAAGACTTAGTTATAAAGCTAGCTTTACTCCTGGTGATGAAAATAAAGTTGTTATTGCAGTTGCTGATGTAGACTCAGAAAATACAAAGGAAAAATCTCTTGTTAAACAACCATCGACAACAGAATATTTACCAGGAATGTTACATACAGAGTCACCTATTAGGTTACTTCCTCAATTTTCTAGTTGGTCATTGATTTGTTTAGGATCAAGCAGCATATACTCACACAATTTAGGTTTACAACATCAATTAGGTGTGCTTGCAAATTCTGCCTTTTTACTACCATGGGATGTAACCGTAAGGTAAACAAATTTGAATTGTAATGAATATATTTTCCAAATTTTTCAAAATGGTGTATTGTTTTAATTATTTTACAAAATTATATAGAATAGAACATCAAAAAGAAAGGGGTTCATTTTGGCCAACTGTTAATGACAATAATCAACATAATTTTTGCTCCAGAGGTAAAAATTTTCAAAATTTAAATATTATGCGAGGAAGAAAATTGAAGAGAGGAAAAGAAATACTTGTAAAGATATTTGTTGGAGTTGAATATGAATGTCCTAGAGGACACAGATTTATGGCATCAACTCCAGATAAAGTATTAAAAGCAACAGGTATAGGAACAGTTAAAGATAATGGAAATAAAATTACTTCTAGTACAACGGATATGCCACTATATTTTCCTTGTCCATGCAGGTTTGAACATTTTAATTTTTATGACATTATATTATACTTTAATATATTATATAAATATATTTTTAAGCATATAACAAATAAAAACGCTTTCTACAATTTTAGAATGGATATATATATTAACATTTCGATTTAATACAATTAAATAATTTCATTTTATATAGCATTTTATTTAACTTATGGCTCAACATTTTACAATATAGATTTTATTACTATACAAATACTATTATAGAGTTATTTTTTATAAGCTAAGCATGCAATTCTTATTCAAATTTTAGACAACCGAAACCATTAATTGCCCAATTAATGCGAATACATGTTGTAACACCGAAAGCTCCAGTTCATGTAACATTGAATCCACGTGTACAACCTGGACCTTCTCCTTGTCCAATTTTTGTCACAGGATGTGAAGAACCTATAAAGCTTCCTCAAAGTTCTTATTGGATTCTTAGATTGCCGTATCCTTCATTATATATTTATATTTATTTAAATCACTAATTATTAATTTTAATATATATAATAAGATACAGATATAAAAAAACTAGAACGATATAAAAGTCCAAGTACAAATAAAAATATACTTTGGGTAATTCAAATTATTTTATTATATACTATTAAAAAAAAATTTATTTATGATTGTTTATTGTGTGCAAAAAAAAAAGTTTATGTTATTCAACATTACATGGTAAAACCTTAAGAAAATTTAGATATGTTTATATGGGAGATAAGGGTCCATACTTACCTCCAAAAGATCCAGTTCCAATATCGCATGGTAGACTACTTGCTGGGATGTATGGCATTAGTAAATTAGTAAGCGATAAAAAGTAAAACTAAATACAAGAGAATAAATAACTAATTCACAAGAATATAAATTGACTGTATTATTTTTATTTTAATTTTCATTTATAAAGTTTAGATTATCAATAAAATAATTTAAATACTTAAAAATGTATTGAGATATATATCCATTATGCAATCTACTATATTACCATCCTTAACTAAGTAATATTTCTTAAAATATTTCATTAGACTTTTATATCTATAAATAAGAAATATCATTTAGTTAAGGATGATAATAAGTTAATAAATTTTTATTTTTATAGACTATCAGATTTAATCAATTTAAAATGACACTTTATTTGTATAATAGTTTTTATATAATTAAAATAATATAAAGAACTTTATTAAGTTTAGTGGTTAGGCTTTACAAGGAAATAATATTTAAAAAATATAAATTAATTTATTTTTTAATACTAATTTAAATTTAGTCCCATAGTAATTATTTCTAGTTGCATTAAAATAAATTTTAGTGATTGGTTAATGATTTTTACCGCGCATTTGTTAAGTATCTGATTATTATGGCCGTTATAAAATTTTTACTCTAAAGATTTTTAAGAATAATATAATATATATAGCAAGTATATTTATATTTCAAGTAAATAAATTTCATTATTGCTTAACCTTGTATTAATATTTCATTTTTTATTAGGGAATATAACTTATTTAAGAATTCTGTCACGTGGTTTGTGGATGCGAATGAGAATGTAATTAAAATTTGAATATTTTAAATGTGTTCCGTTACTTTTATAATGTTACATTGTGAATAATTTTGTTCAAATAAAAAATAATGTTATAAATTATTCTAGTCAAGGTAAGTAATAAAGACATTTTTTCGAATATTTAATAATTAACTACTGGAAATATTTAATAGTTTTGGCTCATTAAAATTGCAATTTGTATGATTTTATAATTTTTGTATATATATAGTAAATTTTAGAAAAAAGTAATAATAATTCGAACTTAATTATTAAAACTTATTAAATCTTTACAGATTTATAAAAATGAAAGGATATGTTTTTTTGATATCTTATCTACTAGTGATATTAAGCATAAATGCAATCCATGTTAATGCTGAATCAATGTTAAATTGGATTTGGGGTAAGAAAGAAGAATCAGCATTGTTATTAGATGATGGAATTCCATTAGTTTCTATTCCTTATGAATTGTTGACTGAAGATGAAAAATTTCTCAAAGAAGCATCGAAGCTGATTACGGATATACAGATTTCTTCGCCATTAGAAATATGTCAACATAAAGTTGTATTAAAAATTAAAAGTGCTTGCACAAGTATGACAGAAGAACAACTTGCTAAACTCAGTGTTAATCTACTTAATTGTCAATCTGCAGCTGAAGGCAGAAAACTTTTTCCTTGCACAGACAAAATGGTAATATAAATAATCACTAAATTATATGCTGATGTTTAAAATATTTTTATATGCATGTGATAATATAATGTAGATTAAAAAATGGTTAAAGAAAGTTTTATTAGTTTTAGGTAAATAATAATATTTAATTATTTTTTAAAGTTAGTATTGACAACAAGAAAAAATTTTAATGAATTTGTGTAATGCATTTTATATAATAATTTAAGTATAGTTGAAATTTTTTAAAAATAATATTTTTATTACACTATCTTTGTACACTATATTTCTTAAAACTATCAAGACCTTATATATAAATTATGAACTGTAATATTGAAGTTATACAGAATTGTTATACAATTTATAAAAAATAATTGCATAACTTAGTAAACTAATATAAATAAACTTCTTAGATCTATCAGTTCTTTTTAAATTTTATTTTATATCATTATATTATACTTTTCAATTAAAGACAATTGGGGAACAGTTATATTAATAATAAGAAAAATTTGTATATATTTTATTTTGTATTATAAATTTTATTTTGTTCTTTATTATATTTATCATTAAATTGACTCTTAACTAATAAATTTAATAAATTTGATAAACTCTTACTAATAAATTTGTAATATCCGTATTAAAAAATAGATTATATAATTGTAAGTAATATATAAAAGATGTCTCTATACTAGTTTGTATTTCAACTGTTTCCTTTAATAGTTTGGAAATTATCTATACAAATCTCTTTTTTCTTTATATCTACAATACTATTTTTTTTTTCATTTTATATTTTACATAAATTAATATTTTTTTGTTTATTGAATACAATATATAAAATATCATTTTTATAATATATCAATAGATAAAATATTAACACTGTTTTTATTATAGACTATAAAAGAGTGTACTATAGAAATGGATTCTGATACATGGAATTCTTATCACTTAATAAGTAATCGAGCAAGAGCTGTCTGTTATTCAGCCAGAAGCTATCAATTTCGTGCTCTTGTAGAAATAACAGTTAATAAATTAATGCAATCTGCTCATACACAAATTAAAACTTTAGCATCATTAAAGGTAAGCTAATAGTACTTTTCAAATTTTTATATTTCTACATGATCAAAATTTATTTCATTTAGGAAAGCCAAGATTATTTGGAAAAACAAACAGTTGCTGCCCATAAAATTATAAAATTAAATATGCAAGATCTTACCAATGAAAAAGCTTTAATTCGTACTGGTCATAGTCAACTTGCTACAATGACTGAAGATATAAAAATGAAATTAGGTAACACTTAATTTGAATATTATAGTATAACAAAAGAATAAATACATTAAATAATAATAATAATATTATTTTTCATTAATAGAAAAGGCAAATCAAGATTTTATTCAACAAGCTGCTCATCGCAGTGAATATCATCAGGAAATCTTAACAGATTTAAAAGATATTCAAATTCAAGTACAACTCTTGTGGCAAAACATAGAAAATAGTACAAATCATATAATTAAACAAAATTATGAAACAATTATACAATATGAAAAAACTTTAACGAAAATTAAAAAAATTAATCAAACTATTGTTTTTATTTGGAATCTTACAAACATTGTGCAAAGTGAAATTGACGAAAGATTAGAATGGATTACTGAATATATTGGAACAGCGGGTAATAATATACATATTTTATATTTATGTGTAAATTTGTACAAAATATAAAATGTTTTATATTTATATTTTTAGGAGAGAATGTCGATAAAATCTATCGCATTTCATTGCATGTAGTATATTTATTTGCAACAATGATTATTGCCACATTTCTTCAAGCACCATTTTTAACAAGAACAGCAATTTTAGGATTAATTCCAATAAATTTTATTTCTTACTTAAAACATGGATTAAGTGCTAGTATTGATTTTATATCTTTGACATTTTTATTATTATTTATTACTGCAAGTTAGTATATTCCTTTTTATATCAATTAAATTTTAATGTAATGTAAATTTTATATTTTGATTGGCAGTACATTATCTATTTAGTGGAATTCAATATTTATTACGGTTAAAAAATAAAATTATTAAAACAAATTCAAAATTATATGGTATTTCACTTTTGAATAACAAGCAAATGTTTGTTGAAAGTATGAAAAAAAATCATCGATTTAAATATCAAGAGCATAAGCTATCATCAAGATTAAATATTTTACAGCTTGCTGTAAATCTGTGGTGCTACATACATCAACACATTTTTAAATATATAGGTATTTATATATTTAAATTATTTGTATTAAAATGAAACAAAATAAAGTAATTAATTATGACACAAATCTAAATTACTTATATTAAATTGATAATTGCTTATGTACATGAACAAAAATTTTTTTATTTCATTATTAAATAATAATACACTGAACTAAATAATAATATATTGAAATTATAATTGTTTAAATAATTGTTATTCTTAATAAAATATCTTTTTTGTTAATTTGTATTTTCAGCTACTAAGTGTTTTAATATTTATTTAATAATTTTAATATTATGTGATCATTTATGAAAATCAAAGTATTTTTTTAAATACGCTATTAGGTTTCTTCATTATTAGCAGAAAATAAAAAATTTACTGAAGTCAAAAATTTAATCTTTCAAATGTAAAAAATCAATGAAAAACTAATGCTTTAACTTTCTCAATAAATCCATCTTCAAATTAAATTCAAATTCTATTGATATGTTATTCTAAAATCATATTTGTATCAACAATTTTTTATATGTTTTTACCGCCAGTTTTAGGAAATTTAAAAATTTTTAAAAAATGTTATCATATAATGAAATCTTGGATGTGGCAAGAATTTGAACCCATTGAAGAACTTTCTTGCTCTTATGTATCCGCTAAAAAATATAACGAATACATTGTATCAAGTACAAAATATCCTAATGTATCGGATGACAGTAGTGAATATTCTGATTCACCAAATTCCGAAAAATTTATACCAAGTAATGATAATAGTATTAGAGGTGCTGTATTAAAAAGAAGAAATCTAAAAAATTATGTTTCACCATTGACTGCGTTTTTCAAAGGAAATCGCGAAGATACGCAAACTTCACAGCAAAGGTACATTTTATATTTTAGCTTTTCATTTTAGAACAATAATCTTTAAAAAGAAATTTTATATATTCAACTATATGTATAATAAAATATTTTTAAGATAAAAAGAATATATTTTTTCTATTAATATTAACTATTACTTTTTAAATTTTGAAGCAAATATTTTAAATTCTTATAATTTGAAGTATATAAAATAGTTTTTAAATTGACTATATGTACGTACTTGTTAAATATAAAAATATATTGATTTTTATATTTTTTTTTCAGTGTAACTCCAATAAGAAGAACTCTGTGTCAGGCTAAAACTAGAAGTGGAAATCCATGTAGATTATTAACTTTAAAGAGCCAGAAATACTGCTTTAAACATGCTGATTTATACAGTGAATAACTTAACTTAATATATTTGACATAAATTAATAAAACGTTGATTTATTACACTTAATATAATTTTAAAAACAGAAATTATATTTTTAATTAATAGTAATGAACAAGTATAATTTTATAATTTCATTACTTTATTCATAATAATAAATGCCTATAAATAATATTAACATTCATCATCTTATTTAATTTAAATCTGTGTGTATATAATATAGTGTTATATTTTATTTTATTTATACAATGCTAATTATGTAAAATTTTAATAAATATAATAGATATTTTTACTTAACATAAAAAAAGTAACTATATTCTTTATAGTGTAGTTTATCCATTAAGATATAATATAAGAAAGAATAAAATTGAACTGTAGTGCCCAACGTGACATAAAGTGTGATTTTAATCATTTTTTATGTTAATTAAATAAATTTTGTATATTATAATGAAATTATAAAATGCTATATGCATTAAAGAAAAATACAAAAAAAAGTAAAAATTGTTACAAATAATAAATTAATTACAGTAAAGTTTTTCATAGTAAGTATATTTTATATTACTTATATATTTTAAACAAATTATTATTTACATTGCCAGGTTCTCTCGTTATTAAGTTAGATAAATGAAAGCAACTTTTACCATCATCAAATAACACGAATCAATTTTTAGAACTTCATTTTCTCTAAAAAGTTTTATTATTTTTATACCTTCATTTTATTTCTATTTATTTAACCAATTTTTATTTAATCTTTTATAAAGATTAATTGCCGTAAATGACAATTAATAGTTTATTTTATTAATAAAATTTTAGATAAAATATTCAATATCTGGCTTAAGTAAAATTAAAACTTTCATCTATTGATAATGTATTCAAATATTTTTAAAGAGTATTCTACATTTAAATTTTCAATACAAATTTTAATTTCTTAAAATATATTATTTTTTATTATATTATATCAATGAATTGAATATGAAATAAATAGAAAATTTATAGTAGATGAATTTAATTAATATTAAATATGTAGTATAGATTCAAACGTAGTTGCTCGTAAATAATTGTAAAAGATTTTTAAACATCGACAAATGAATAGAATTATAGAGATTTTCAGAACATAGTTTAATCAAAATTTATGAAAAACTATGAGTTTAATTTTTTTTCTTGAATATTATTTAAGTATATTGTAAAAGTTATATTAATTAAAAATATGTTTCAGTTGCTACTAATGAAATTAACATAACGTTGTACAAGCATTTAAGATCATAATATTTTTAGTTCAATCATTTTATAATTCGATTTTAATCTTTATACGATATAAATTTTCACTTTTTGTTATCCTTTTACGAAGTAATTTTACTTTAAAAGAATACGCAGTGTTTTGAAAACGCGGTCCGCGGATAGTATTCTTGTCATTCTTTTTTTCGCTTCTGACATTGCGTGTAATGTTCGGTAGATAACAGGCGGTGTATGTATATACACTGAGTTTGCGGCGGTTGAAGCGACGGGCTTAAAAGCCGCCGCTTCGTATATTTTTCCAAGCGTTACACTGTCTCCGGTTGCCGGTCTCTGAAGGCAAACAAACGCGACTTCACCGAGTAGACTTTTATGGCCTTATAATCATCCAAGTTTACAGTGCATGGTTGTATGCTAAATATGTAAGAAAGCTGAAGCATCGATGTTTGATCGGTAACATTTTAACTCGTTTCTATAGATATTATTTCATACTTTCTTTGAAATGCGTTAAGCCGACTTAATACATTACAAAAGATATTTAGGCCTGAATTTTTTCTGATAATAATTTTTCATTCAATATATTAGTTCTAATGTGAATTTTAGTAGTGATTTTATACTAGATTAAGCCAGAATAACACATATAATGTGTTTATATTTCAATAATTTACAAATAAAATATAAAGTACCCTAAATAAACCTGAACAGTACTAATAAATATTTTTCAAATCAAAATTATTTTCAAATAATATTTCGATTCGATCGTTTTATTTTTATTGAGTAGCACTGGTTAATTTTAACGAATATTTACAGAAGTATTATTTTTAATAACATTTTAACAGAATTTTTTAATATTATATAAATCTTAATAATTTTTTAAATAATATATATATATATATATATATATATATATATATATATATATAGTTACTCAGTTTATAAGCTTTTAAAATCTAATTTATGAAAACAAGTTGTAAAATAACTTGTAATAATTTGTAAAAAAAAATTGGATTATTTTTCATTCGGTGCAATAGTCTGTGAAATCCAAATAAATAAATTGTCTTCTGAGAATTAAAAATATTTCTACATGGAAAATAAATTTTCAATATTTAATACATAAGTTTTTCAATAATGATTTATGTATAATCGATTGGTTCAATACAACGGATTTATCGAAAGTAACACTGACTGTTTTGATTTTATTTTGTTTTGATATTCCTATAGTTTACTTACTGAATTTTGAGAGATTTTATGTCATATATTTATTCCAAATATATTAATACAACAGCGATAGATAATCTGTATTAATATTTTCAATATTTAATAAGCCCGTGTTTATAAACAAAAGTCTATAAACATGTTCCATGTTATAAGAAACTAATTAAAATAGATCGAAATCACAAAAGAATTGTATTTCAATTTTAGAGTCAGTGTGTACTTTTGGTCGACTGTCATCCGGTTGTCGCAACTCTGTCACTTGAAGAACGAACGCTGCGATATTATGGCGACAGAGGCAACATCTTTTCGAGTAGAATTGCAGCGTCATTCATTTTGTCACCTTTATTTCAGTACGTAACTGTGTCCTCGTATTATCACGAGAACTTATTTCTCAAATTAGCGTACATCATTTTCATTCCCTTGTTAATGATGTGTACAGATCTTTAATATTGTATTCTACGTTTAAGCCGTATTGACATACGCAATTGAATATTAGATTTATTTGTTGCTCTATTATTCAGATTTTAATATAAGATTTTTTAATTTCTTTAAATATTATAATTGCAAATTTTAATTGAGCGCCAAATAAATTATTCATAGACTAAATGTATCCAAGTCTGAAAGAACCCTAATTAATTATATCAAGTACTGTACTAAGTATTTTAAAACTGTCACTGATTAATCGTTATTAATTGTCATGTGATAATTTCCTTCTACAGTTGTTAATTATTTTGTATTTAATTAGCTCTAGGAATTAGCTACTAAAAATTATAATTATTTAATTTATTATTAATAATTATAAACTTATAATTTATTTTTTAACATAAATAAAAACTCTTTTATCCTTTATCAAAAAGTAATAATGTAACTGAATCGGTAATTACAAAGACTTCAAAGAGATTAAATTGCTTATTTACATAATATTTTGACACACAAAATTATATTTTTAACGATAAATTTAATAGGTACATAGTAATATATAAGAAGCATTTGTTTTCTTAATTTCACAATAATAATTTTTTATTTCTTAATTAGTATATTATTACCATTTATTTTATATTAATTTTATTAAATTTTTATTTGTTGAGTATTGTAGAGTTAAAGAACTAATTTTCATAGTACAAATAAGCAATTTATTACAAGTTAAGAGAAAAGCATTATCGATTTGTTTAATTTGTAAGAATGGGTTTTTACTGCCGATTCTTCAATATTTATATTTTTCGCAATACCTTGTAGAACGTTGTTTATATCCGTTAAAATAATTATTATCTTTAGTTCAATATATACAAAACTTTATTTTTTGAAATGTGCCGATATTCCATGTATGAGAAAAAGAAGATGATACCGTAGGAAATCCTAGTTCCGCGAATGTGGGTCAACGTAACGTGAAATGAATGGCCATAGTGTGTTCTTCCTTTCCAGTCTGGCTTTCGTTCTACATTAAATTCAAACAACCACTAATCTACATTTATAGCCTGTACTTTCGGTATTTAGTATTGCTAATATATTTTTGATTAACCGCTTGAATTTTAATGGTCAATTAATTTTTCTCAATTTATTATTTATTATTTGATTTATCATTTTTTTATGAATCTGATATTAAAAATTTATGGCAAATTTCGTCTTAGCCATCGAAAAGTTAAATGTTAAAATGTTAAAATGTAATTTTTCTAATGCGATCAGAACAGTATTTAACAACTATAGAAAAGGAAATAAAAATGTTAAAGTGAGTCGAAAAGTCGAAATTACGTCATAATAATTAAACAACTTGCTAGCTAATATTTTCAAGTAATTAAAAAGTAAATTACATTTATAATAAACGGTGGAATATCATAAAAGTGCGAGTGTCTGTCATTTCGTGGTCTAGCAAAAGAATCGAAGGGAAAAAAACGACGTCTTTCACGACGTATGTACGAGCAAAAGGAAGAAACAGAAGACGGTAAAGCAGCAGAAGTAGAAGAGCTTATGGGGAGCCGCTTCGTCGTCGGGGTCGTGTGAACCGGATTTTACGTCGCGCTCTCCTACGTGCAGAGAGCAGCTGCTACCGGAGAGACGAAATTGACGTCAACGCTCTTTTCTCCTTTTGCCTTCTGACAACTGCGACAGCACAGTCCTTTTGTCCGTTCAAGTATTTAGAAAGAAAGAGAATATCAAAGTCCTTCTGTATATACGAAATTCAAATGAGATAATATTTTTAATAATTTTGTATTTTATGTATACATAAGGAAGTTTAATGTACAAATATAATAATTTCTCAATGTGATGAGCCTTTTATATTACATTATCCACTCGACATTACTCTATATTATTATAATCAGCTTACTCTATATCGATTTGTGTGAATTTGTATTTGAGTAAGCATCGATTATGAATTTTAGTTGTATATAATTAATAATTTTGAAACTGGCGTTAGTAATAAAAATCACACAAGCAAATAAAAGGATATAACGTTTTGATGTGATAACCCGAAGATAAAATAACGAATACCAATATTTAATTTAAACATCTCATAGCTTTAGAGTTGAAGTATATTTAGAAAATAAAATATATTATAATTTCTATCATATAATATTTTGGCCGAATAGATGAAGTAACACGGTAAACCTAAAAGTCGGGAATTCTATTGTTT